AGAGAGAGAGAGAGAAAGAGAGAGAGAGAGTGAGAGAGATCTGAGAGAGAGAGAGGGAGAGAGAAACACAGAATTGGAAACAGGCTCCAGGTTCTGAGCTGTCAGTGCAGAGCCTGACGCGGGCTCGAACCTACGAACCATGGGATCATGATCTGAGCACAGGTCAGATGCTTAACTGATTGAGCCACCCAGGCCACTCCCTAGTGCTCTTTAAAAATTTGTTTCAAACATGGGTATAATTCATGTACTATAAACTACACAGGTCAACACATGTTTGTATATTTACACTGTTATAATCATCAGCAAGAACAAGATATTAAATATTTTCATGCTCCCATAAGATTGTGCCCCTTCCCAGTCAATAGCTCCCAACCCCAACTCCATCATCTGACCTTTGTTATATTGATTAGTTTTGGTCATTCTTGAAATTCATATAAATAGGATCATAGAGTATGCAATCCTCTGTGTCTGGCTTCTCTTGTTTAATATGTCTTTGAAATCCATCTATGTTATTGTGCTTATCAGTAGTTTGTCCTTTGTATTGCTGTGTAGCATTCCATTGTATAAATATATCACAAATGTTTTTATCTATGTTTCTGTCAATAGGCATATGAGTTGTTTCTCAAACTAGAAAAAGCTAATGTGAACATTTATATATAATTATGTTGGTGGATATGCATATTTATTTCCACTAGGTATATATCTGGAATGAATTGTTTCTTTAGTAGTCTTCTGTGTACATGATTAAATTCTTTCTGGATATAGGTGGGACATACATTAGTATTGGAAGAATATTTTTAAAAAGATAAGAAGGAATGAGCATAAAAGGCAAGAGAATAAAGAAAACAATATAACAGCATTTCAAGGATAAATGTATGTCTTAGTATAGGGGAAGAATAGTGGTTAAGGAATATAGGACCTTGGAGTTCTTCTATTTTAGACAAGTCATTGCTTTCTGGAGACCTGTTTATTTATCCATTCAAAAGATTAGTTTATAGACTAGATGCACTCAATGATTCTTTCCACCTTGCTAATCTGGGAACTTAACAAGAATTTGTCAGTGAATCATCTGACTTGGGGGGGGGGAGGAATGTATATATATAGTCTTTTCTGATCCATAAGTTGTGAGAGAGAGGACTTCTAAAAATTTTCCTCTAAATGTTGGAATTGTTTTTCATGGAATACCTGTTTGTTTCTTCCCCATCCTGAATCCCTCCCTCAGAATGAGACATTGTTGAGCAGACTGATCAGAGCCTGTATATTCATTGGGCCACACTTACTGAAGGATGAGGCCACTATACCTTGTAAGGCAGGAACCCATGTTGCCCCACGTTTTTCTCATCTTGTTTTCTGCTGAAAAAATCTCCTGGGCAGAGCCTCAGTTCTAGGGCAGACTCCTTCCTTGTTAGCCTCCTTCTTCCCACCCCATGACCTTGGTTGAGTGAATATATTCAGAAAACTTGGTGTCCATTTACGTGTTCTTTCCCCTAAGGCATGCTTTAACCCACAAGCCTGAATATTTAAATTTGGGAGAGATAAAACACCTCACTTTCTCTTTTATTTATCAACAGTAACTCAAAATTATCAGATATCTATGTATTAGTGTGTGCTAAATTCTTGGCTATTAACAAAGCATTTTTCTTCCTTTTTTTTTTTTTTTGGTGCCTTATGTGTAGTATTCTCTTGGTAAAGTACTCCAGAAGTCGAAAGATGAAAGGTGGTTAGGATTGCTCAGACTCTCTCAAAGCCTTCAGAGAGAGGATATTGAGAGATCACAGAAATCATATACCCATGGCAGTCAAAGGTGTTGCCAAGAAAAATGAGTTGTTAGAACAAGGAGCCATGAGGAGAATCCTGGCACTGATTGTGGCTGCCAGGGAGACACGCTTCATAAACATTCAAACCATGAACCTCATACTCACAGATCATAAGGGTTGCTTGGCCTGGGAAGCCAATGGAAATAAAGATGGAAATAAATAAACAGGAGCTCTGGGAACCACATCTTGTTTCCAGACTCACCTGCTGAAGGGCCTGACCATGTCATAGAGCACTGATCTGGGCATCTGTCACAAGCCTCACGTGAGCTTCTCTCTTTATATGCATTTACTTGCCACAGTAGCTTTTATTATAAGGTTTTACATGCCCACTCCGCATGTGAAGAGAAAAAGACATTTAGAATGATTAAGCCACCTGCCTTAGCATGAACAGTTAGCATGTGGTAAAATCAACTTTAGACTTTGTCTGACTACAAAGCCCATGACATCTTTGTCATGACCAACTAGTTCCATCTATCATTCTACAGATGAAGACATTGCAGTCTAAGAAGCTTATTGTGAGTTGTCAGAGTCAGGACGAGAATCTGGGACTCTTGACTCACTATTGGGTCAGCTCCAGTCCTACTGCCTTGCCTTGTTAATGCCAAAACAAAGGAAAGCCCCATGAGGTTTTCAAGACATTTTCTGAAATGTCATGAAGTGATTGTTTTGTCATCTCTCTTTTAAAGACTCGGGTACTGGAGTCATATTGCCGACTTGAAGCCTAATTCTGTCATTTGAAGTTTGACATTAGCAGGTTACTTAGTTTTTCTGTGCTTTAGTGCCCTTATTTATAAAATGGGGAAAATGCAGTGCTTTCCTAAGAGGTGTTAAGACTAGGGCTGCCTGGGTGGCTCATTTGGTGAAGAATCTGAGTCTTCACTTCAGCTCAAGTCAGGATTTCATGGTTCATGGGTTTGAAATCCACGTTTGGCTCTGTGCTGACAGATACCCTCTCTCCTTTTCTCTGCCCCTCCTCCCTCTCTCTCTCTTAAAATAAATAAATAAACTTTAAAAAGAGGTATTAAGACTAAATGAGACAATATGTGTAATTACCTTACAGTTGGGTTGAGCATACAATCACCATATCATAAATAATGACTATTATTGGTCTTCCATTTCTGATGTATCAGTAAGCAAGGTGGTACCCCTGGGGCATCAGAGGCTTGGGAACCAGAAGGTTGATTATGTGTCCCATGATAACCACAGGTCTATGTGGGTAGACTCCTTTAGAGACTTGGGTCAGATCACTGTCTTATACTAGAGCAAAGAACCAAAGAATGTCTCATGCTCATAACTTTCCAACAGGTTAATTCATTACAATCTCCCTGACTCTGAGCTGAGCTCCAAGACTCCAAAGATAAAGATGGCAGAGTGTTCCCTCACAGCTCAGCCAGACAAAGGTCCCCTCAACAAATGCGAAATAATTTATAATAACCCCATTGACAGTGGAATATCATACCCTGTTGAGGAAGACATGAGACCTAATCTGTTTGCTAACATAAACTCTTTAGACAGCCTCAAAGGCTACCAGCAAGCCTCTTTGCTTTAGCACCTGATGAATACTCAGACTGTAAATCCAGCCTGGGACACTGACGTATAAGACTGAAGGACAGGAGAGGATTACTTGTCTCTGAGCAAGGCTCTTCTCTGCGATTTTAATCCCTCATCCATAAAATGGGTAGATTTTTTAGTGTCACTAGGCATTAAAGAGGAAATATATTTAATCCTTGCCTCAGCAGCACATGTACCAAAATTAGAACAATACATTTCTTCCCGTGTGAATTTTGGTAGTGAGTGTGTGTTCAGGAATTTGTCCATTTCTTCTAAGTGGTCCAATTTGTTGGCATATAATTTTTCATAGTATTCCCTGATAATTGCTTGTATTTCTGAGGGGTTGGTTGTAATAAGTCCATTTTCATTCATAATTTTGTCTATTTGGGTGC